AATACACACACACACACACACACACACACACACACACACACACACACACACACACACACACACAATGATGGGCATACTCACCATAGCAGAGAAATAAAATTTCTCGAAATCTTTCTGCTGGTGTCGGACAGCTCGGAGATTGTCCGCTGTGACTTGGTAACGTTGAAGTATCGAACCCCCATCCTCGGACAACCAGCTGATCACCTGTAAAGCAAAATAAAGAAATGAATGAACAAATAAATAGACAGATACATGATTAGATAAATAAATTATAAGATTATCAAATAAATAAATAGATAGGTGAGCAAAACTTAAAGCAGGAGTTCGAAACTATTGACGTTTCACAATACAGTCGATACCACAAATTCATTTAAAGTGACTGGAGTGTGTGATGTAATGGTTAAGCTTTTTTCATAGCAAGCACGGTTCTTAGAGCGGGGGAGACATTTTATTGAGTCTCCTTCTTCCCTTTCTTTTTTTATAGGGCAATCCTATACGTCTCAGGTTGGCCCTGAAAAGTAGTGTCACAGCAGCCCGACTCCCGGAAGCTGTAAATGCAGTCTAAAGGGACGTAAAACGAGCGCATAATGTACCCAAGGGTGCAAAAAAAAAAAATGAAGTGGTACCAATCACAACCGGGAGGGGGGGGGGGGGGGGGGGGGGCAGGTTGGCCGTGTTTGAAAACTCAACAACCACAAGCACAAATTAATATTCTCTCCCGAACCTGTGTACGACAATCTGATCGTGAGAGCAGGTGAGCTAGACAGACTCGCGAGATACCACGACCTACACAACCGACACAAGACTAAAAACGAACCATCAAGGTCCTGGGCAGTCAGTATTCAGCTGATAAGGCTTCCAAAGAAAACTGTTAACGAGATCTTATCTTCCGAGTCCTGGGAAGGTGCGTGTGATAAGATTTCTTCAGCAGTAAATAGGAGCGGGGAACCCATTCTCCACGCATTTACATGAGTCATACATCAGTGCTAGTTTGCACAGTCGGACAACTGTGGCTACAAATCATGAAAATATAGAAGGAAGAAACAGACGGGACGCGGGCAACAGGGAGGGTCGTAGTATACAGACCCAATTAGATAGATTATGGAAATGAAGATTAACGGACTCAAAGAGAATTAAAAACACCCGGAATATAGCAAGACAGAAAATCAGGGATAAGCATATTGGTAGTTAGGTAGCTAGGTAAAACATATAAATAGATCGATAAGTAAATCTTTATTTGGATATCGGAGGGTAGCAAAAATGGATGGAGTTGTTACCCATTCGTCCACAGTAGGTTACCGAAAACAAAGGGACACCATGGTGATTATATAATGACTGCTAAAATAACAAACCCACGGGCAGCTGCCTTACGCTAGACTGGAGAAAAAACAACAATTTCTCAACTTGTTATAATCAAAGACACAAGCGTCTGTGACAAAGCAGTTATTTCGCGCGTCCCACACAGAAGACGTGAGTTAGATTCCTATATTGGGAGAATTTATATCAAGTAGCTTAGTCTTTGTACTGGGACGTTGCATCCCTCTCAGCCTTGGCTATAGCCCTGGCAGACAGGGACAAAGCAGCCCGCTTTCTAAGACAATCTACATGACGTGTCGATAGGGCGTAAACCATCTGCAATTACAATTACTGTTGAGGACACTGTGGAAAAGGCAAAATCAATAACTCAGTCAAAAAATTGAAAATGTTTTGACCAGACATCAGCCAGATGATACTAGACGTGTATTCATAGATCGCAGATGAGCAAGGGGCAGCCTGATTCAAAAGATACCAAGTAGCAATTTACAAAGGCAAACATTTCGAAAATCGCTAAACATCTAATAAAAAAAGGACTCGCGGTGGACGTAAAGGAACTAATCGCACTTCAAAATATCCTTGATCATGTGAAACGTATGAACTTACAGAAAATTCCACTTAAAAAACAGAACCCAGACCAACGGTGACAAGGTGGAAACTTCAAGGAAAAACAACACATATTTACCACATAACATATTCAAGCAATGAGAGAAAATAAATCTGTTATACGACTCAGCTGTGATTTACGGCGAATCGTATGATAACAGACATGTAGGTAAGGACAATGCCAGCTTTGAAGAGATAAAACAAGACACACGATAGTCGTCTTCGCAGGGAATGAATGAACATACACCATTTCATATATAGCTAGCTAAAGAAGTAACAAGTTGACCGAAAGAAAAAAAATCCCAGGTGTACGTACGGAATGGCATTCACCTTAAGGTGTCCCAAAGGTATCCACTACAGCATTCCACAGGGGAATGTTCAGGTGGTCGCCGTGTATTTGTAAACTGATGTTGCGATACATGACAGGCAGCGTTTGGCCGTGTCCTATGAATGTTTACTGACCACAGGGGCAGAGAGAGAGAGAGAGAGAGAGAG